CTTTTTCTGTCCCTTCTTCTCTCTTCTCCCTTCCTTGTCTACCTCTTTCCTTCCTTCCTTTCTTCTCTCCTTCCTTCCCTCGTTCTCTCCATCGTTTTCTGTCTCTTTTCTTATTTCATTCTTTCTCTCTTTCCTTCCTCCGTTCTCTCCTTCATTAACTCCTGCTTTCATTCTTTCCCTTTTTTTTCTTTCCTTTTCTCCTTCCTTCCTTCCCTCCCTTTTTCCTTCCTTCCCCACTTTTTCTGTCCCTTCTTCTTTCTCTTCTTCCTTCTCTACCTCTTTCTTTCTTTCCTTCCATCCTTTTCTCCATCCTTTTCTATGTCTCTTTCCTTTGAAATTCTTTCTCTCTTTCCTTCCTTCTTCTTCCTCCTTTCTCTTTCCTCTTTTTTCTTTCCTTTTTCCTTCCTTCCTTTCTTCTCTCCTTTTTCCTTCCTTCCCTTTTCCTTCCCTTCTTTTTTCTTCCTTCCTTCTTCCTTCCTTCTCCTTCCTTCCCTCCTTCTCTCCATCCTTTTCTGTCTCTTTCCTTATTTCATTCTTTCCCTCTTTCCTTCCTTCCTTCATTCTTTCCCTTTTTTCTTTCCTTTCCCCCTTTCTTCCTTCTTTCCCTCCTTTTTTCCTTCCTTCCCCACTTTTTCTTTCCCTTCATCTTTCTCTCCTTTCTTATTTCGCTACCTTTTTCTTTCCTCTCAAAGCTGGTATGGCCAGCTCTTTCCCTTGTGCAGGAGGCAGCGGGGTCAGGGGAGTTGTTTCCACGCATGCACTGTATCATCATTTAGGGTTTTGGGGGGTTTTAAGTCGCTTCCGCTGTGTTTTTCAGTGTTTTTATGAGTGAAGGTCACTTGTGGGTCCGTTAGGTGTCTTCTGGCCAAATTTTGCGTCATTTCACCCTACAGTTTTTGAGTTATGTTAATCCCACAAACGATCATTACATTTTTATTTCTATAGATGAGATGATATGCTCGGTCCAACCTGGCTGTTGCATTCTAAACTCGCTAGAGTTTCCCAGCTTGGCCAGGAGATGGCCAAACGTACAGCCTTGAAGTGCCCAGTGCTGCCTCCCATGTCTAAGAAGGGGCGAAGCTGGTGGGAATAATATTCATCACAGTCGTCACCATCATCATCAACTAAAACAGTGGAACTCTCTGCAGCAGGGTCCGGTGGAGGCTCCTCGTTTGGAGGCTTTTAAGCAGAGATTGGCTGGACCTTTAATGGGGGTGCTTTGATTTTGCTTTCCTAGCTTGGCAGAAACCTTTACCTATGTTTATATATTTGTGTATATCTATCTATATATAAATAAAAATGTACTGTTCGTTTGTGAGATTAACAGTGGGATTAAGAGTGTTCTGAACCCCACGAACGACAGAATTGGGGCAAACTTCCCACACTGAACCCCCATGACCAACAGAAAATACTTAAGGCCAACCAGTCCAACTCTCTTCACCAGGGCAAGAAAACGTAATCAAAGCCCTCCTGACAAATAGCCATCCAGTCATAGATATAGATATAATTAATACACACACAGATATAGTATTATAGATTTGAAAGGGACCCTTAAAGAAGGACTATCTTGCCTGTTGCAGAATAGACAAACCAGACACTCTCCACATCAACACTGAAAAAGAAACAACAAGAAATACTGTTTACCCACAAGCAGAAAGAAATTACAAATATTAGAAACCAGCGCTTTCTCATTATTTTATTTTCCAGATCAACAGACTGGGCCACAGCAACGCCTGGCAGGGACAGCTAGTAATATTATGTGTATTGTTAAGTTGTTGTTTTTTGAGGCCTTGGCCCATGTAAGCCGCATCGAGTCCTTCGGGAGATGCTAGTGGGGTACAAATAAAGTTAATAATAATAATAATAAACTGTTCCCAGCCAAAGTGGGAGTAGTGGTATACAAGTTAAATAAATAAATAAATAAATAAAATGTATAAATACACATATTAGCCCCACTGCGGGGGTTGAGAAGGGCGATGTACAAATAAAAAAATAAACATACACAAGTATATACACACACATTTGTTGTTGTTCATTCGTTCAGTCATCTCTGACTCTTCGTGACCTCATGGACCAGCCCACGCCAGAGCTCCCTGTCGGCCGTCACCACCCCCAGCTCCTTCAAGGTCAGTCCAGTCACTTCAAGGATGCCATCCATCCATCTTGCCCTTGGTCGGCCCCTCTTCCTTTTGCCTTCCACTTTCCCCAGCATCATTCCCTTCTCTAGGCTTTCCTGTCTCCTCATGATGTGGCCAAAGGACTTCCACTTTGTCTCTAGTCTCCTTCCCTCCAGTGAGCAGTCGGGCTTTATTTCCTGGAGGATGGACTGGTTGGATCTTCTCGCAGTCCAAGGCACTCTCAGCACTTTCCTCCAACACCACAGCTCAAAAGCATCTATCTTCCTCCGCTCAGCCTTCCCTAAGGTCCAGCTCTCACATCCGTAGGTTACTACAGGGAATACCATGGCTTTGACTAGGCGGATCTTTGTTGCCAGTCTGATGTCTCTACTCTTTACTATTTTATCGAGATTGGACATTGCTCTCCTCCCAAGAGGAAGCGTCTTCTGATTTCCTGGCCACAGTCTGCATCTGCAGTCATCTTTGCACCTAGAAATACAAAGTCTGTCACGGCCTCCACGTTTTCTCCCTCTATTTCCCAGTTGTCAATCATTCTTGTTGCCATAATCTTGTTTTTTTTTATGTTTAGCTGCAAGCCAGCTTTTGTGCTTTCTTCTTTCACCTTGATTAGAAGGCTCCTCAGCTCCTCCTCACTTTTGGCCATCAAAGTAGTATCATCTGCATATCTAAGGTTGTTAATGTTTCTTCCAGCAATTTTTACACACACATATACACACAGAAAACACATATACACAGAACTCAAAAACTACTGGACGAAACACAGCGGATGGGACCTTGAAAGCCCCAAAACAAAAAAATACATTACAGTGCATGTGCAAAACCACACACACACAAACACAGGCACACATATATGTGTGTGTGTGTGTGTATATATATATACACAAACACACATATACATAGACTGGGCCACAGCAACCACAGTCAGAACCCTCTTGACAGAGGGCTGTTCAGCCTCATAGCATTGGCAGGTTCAGGCAGGAGAAAGAGATCTATAGGAGCCCAGGAGACCAGGGTGACAAGAGACCCCCAAGGGTCATCCAGTCCAATACCTGTCTTTTTTGACAGGCAGTGCCACAGCAAAGCATGGCAGGGGGTGGCTAGTCATTCAATCAATCCATCCATCAATACTGCTCTACACAAATACTCCATATGCCCAAATGTGAACACTGGTGGAGTTTGGGGGAAATTGGAACTTGACATTTGGGAGTTGTAGTTGCTGGGATTTATAGTTCACCTACAATCACAGAGCATTCTGAACCCCACCAACGACAGAATTGGGCCAAACCTCCCACACAGAATCCCCATGACCACCAGAGTGGGCCAATCACTCAACGTGGATGGAGGCCCCGCTGCCTGTTGTGCCGAGGGCGGTTGTACCTTGAAGTTGGCGTCGTCGAGGAGTGCGCGGAGGAGGGCGAGGAGTCCGAGGAGGGCGTGGGCGGGCAGGGCGGCCAGGGCCAGGGCGGCGGCGGGGGGCCCTTCTTTCCCCCGACTGGGCGGCTGTGCCTGCCCGAGGAGCGCGCGCTTCAGCTGCTCCATGGCGCCCACGCGGCCCCGGTAGTCCTGCTGGTCCAGCAGCCGCGCGTGGAGCTCGGCGGGGACCAGGCCGAAGCGCAGCGGGGAAGGAGGGGGAGGAGGCCTACCCTCGCCTTCCTCCTCTTCTTCTTCCTCCTCCTCCTCCTCGTCCTCCTCCTCTTCTTCCTCGTCGCCTCCTTGGCCGCCCTCCTCGTCGTCATCCCCCGGCGCCTCCTTCCCGGCGCCCATGCCCCGCAGACCCGCCAGCCCGACCCCGACAGGCCCCGCAGGCCCACTAGGCCGCGATGGAGGAGGAGGGCAGCAAGAGGAGGAGGAGGAGGAGGAGCAGAGAGGGACATCTCCGTCGCCACGGCAACGCCACCACTGCGCCTGCGCGGAACGGCGCCATCTTGGAAAGGGAGGAGGAAAGAATGAGAAAGGGGCGGGGCCAAGAAGGGGTCTCCAGGGAAACGCACCCCCGCCTGAGCCTCCTCGGTACTGCGCCTGCGCGGCCCGGAGCCATCTTGGAAAGGGAGGAGGAAAGAATGAAAAAGGGGCGGAGCCAAGAAGGGGTCTCCAGGGAAACGCACCCCCGCCTGAGCCTCCTCGGTTACTGCGCCTGCGCGGCCCGGAGCCATCTTGGAAAGGGAGGAGGAAAGAATGAAAAAGGGGCGGAGCCAAGAAGGGGTCTCCAGGGAAACGCACCCCCGCCTGAGCCTCCTCGGTTACTGCGCCTGCGCGGCCCGGAGCCATCTTGGAAAGGGAGGAGGAAAGAATGAAAAAGGGGCGGAGCCACGAAGGGGTCTCCAGGGAAACGCACCCCCGCCTGAGCCTCCTCGGTTACTGCGCCTGCGCGGCCCGGAGCCATCTTGGAAGGGGAGGAGGAAAGAATGTGAAAGGGGCAGGGCCGAAGACGGTCTCCAAGGAAACGCGATCCTGCCTCTTCCTCCGCGGCTACTGCGCCTGCGCGGCCCGGAGCCACCTTGGAAGGGTGGAGAAACACGATCCGGCCTCATTCTCCGTGCCTACTGCGCCTGCGCGGTCCGGAGCCATCTTGGAAGGGTGGAGAAAAGTATGAAAAAGGGGCGGGGCCGAGGAAGGGTTTCCAAGGAAACGCGACCCTGCCTCATCTTTCGCGGCTACTGCGCCTGCGCGGAGCCATCTTGGAAGGGTGGAGAAACGCGATCCTGCCTCATCCTCCGTGGCTACTGCGCCTGCGCATCCTGGCGCCATCTTGGAAGCGTGAAAAAAAGATTCATGAAGGGGCGGGGCCGAAGACGGTCTCCAAGGAAACGCGACCCTGCTTCAGCTTCCGCGGCTATTGCGCCTGCGCGGCCCGACGCCATCTTGGAAGGGTGAAGAAAAGAATGAGGAACGCCATCTCCATGGAAACGCGACCTCCGCTACTGCGCCTGCGTGGTCCGGCGCCATTTTGGAAGGGGGACAGAGCTCGATGACAGCGCTCCACTTCGGCTACTGCGCCTGCGCGGAAAAGGCAAAGCGGGATATCGAGACAGTCTCCGTATCTGGTGGCCGAGAGGAGGTCACGTGAGCCATCCAAGGCCGTGACGACACTTCCTGAGGGGAGAAGAGCCGTTGGCTGGACCGGAAGTGACGTCCGCGCTGTCATTTCGCTTCCTCCCTTCCTTCTCGCGGCGGCCGCCGGGCGCGGTGTTGTTGTGGATGTTGTGGTGATTGTTGTCGGCGCCTCAGAGAGACAGAGAGAGAGAGAGAGAGAGAGGCGCCCCCCTCCCCCACCGGAACCGGGCCGAGGCCACGTGACTCCGGTGAGTGACAGGCGGAAGAGGGGGAGGGGCGGGACTAAGGGCCAGAACAACAACAAGGGGGAGGGGGGGGAGGGGGAGAATATGGCCCCGAGGGGGGATTAACAACAACAACTCTCATAGGAAGAGAAACTGCACCTGCTCTCATCAGTATTATACTGTTGTATTATTATAGTATAATATGTTATTATATAAATTCCATGGACTCCAGTGGAACAAAACAGCGCCTCTGCAGTGTGACCTCCAAATCAATAGACAAGCACGAAAGGAGGAAGGCCACCCAATTTCAATACAGTGAGTCACTGATCTCCATAGACTGCCACAAAATTAATTAATTAATTTGCTCCATTTATATTCCGCTTTTCTCAGCCCTCAGGCAGCTCAAAACGGGTTACAGTAGCAAAATTCAATGCCTGAACATCATAAAACAGACTAAAACAATTAAAAACCATAGCATCAATATACAAACATTACAAAGTCAATACTATTATTATTAACTTTATTTATACCCCGCAAAATCTCCCGCAGGACTCGATGCGGCTTACAAAGGCCAAGGCCACCAACAAACAATAACATACTCATACACAATAAAAGGGATAAGCAAATAAAAACATAGAGCAAAACATTAAACAATAAAACAACGACACAGTGATGCATTTAAAGCCAAGGGCCGGGCTAGTGTAATAGACGAAATTTAAAAGTGCTAGATTTGACAAGTGAAATGTAGGCGTATTTCGAGGTAGGTGCAATGTGCAAATATTCCTGAATCTCTAACAAACTGCATTTGGGACTTGATGCCAGGAGTTTCCTATTCTGGGAAGGCACACTGGAACAGCCAGGTCTTCAGGCTCATCCTAAAGACAGCCAGCGTTGGGGCTTGTCTGATGTCCTTGGGGAGAGAGTTCCAGAGTTGGGGGGCCACCACAGAGAAGGCCCTGTCCCTCATCCCCACCAAACACGCGCCCCGGGCAACTTGTTGCAATCCAGAGCAGAGAACGAGGCCTAAGATAACTATCCACCACACTTGGCTGTGAAAAACAATCCTTTTTTATTGAAGAAAAATGGTTACAAAATAAAGGAAAAATGCAAGTCAAAAGCCACAGCAAAATCAGCAAACATGAATTTAAATGGACAAAGCAAAACCAAAAGCCTCACTGGGAAATACTTGAATCTGTTAGCAATCCACTAACCGTACTTGATATCCTAGAAATCTTTCCATACTATGGCCAGGGAACCGGGAGAACTGCCAAGGTCTTCATCAATTCTGAAACGATGCCTGAACTGAGGGAATCAGCCTGGCGTATTGCAATTAAAACTCAAGAATGGGTTCCGTGAACCGCCCTTCTGTCTTGAAGCCAATGTTTTTAATTCTTGAATTTGGGAGGATCGACGCAAACTGAGTGTTTTATTTCTGTCTTCCCAGATTTGACTCCTTCTGTTGTCATTACAGTTAACAGGTGCAGAAGGGAGGGAAAGTTCAAGGTCTCCCTCTGCAACATTCTCATTAACACTGGTACTTTCATTTTCCAAATCTACAGAAGTTCCTTCCTCACTAATTTCAGGAACATTGGCATTTTCCAAACCTACAGCAGATTCTTCCTCACTAATTTCAGGAGCATTGGCATCAAACGGTACATTTCCACTAGCATCAGTAAATATACTTTCATTAGCATCAGGAGGAACAAACAGAGAATCAGGTTCAAGTTCAAACAGGCTGAACCCCAACACAACTCAATAGCAAGATTCAATGCTCAGAACAACATAAAACAGTTAAAAACAGTTAAAACAATTAAAACAGTAGCATATTAAACAATCAGTTATACAGGGTGAGGCAGCATAACTTTTTCAAAACTTAATAAAACCCATTCTATGAATCAGAAATTTTTATTCTGGGCACATACCTAAAGATTTGTTTTACGTAGTTTTGAAGATCAAATTAAGTAGGTGATGTCTCCCATTCTCCATCCACTGAGTAAACCAATTTCTGGCGTTTGTCATGACTCTTGCCAGCATAGCAGGCGTTCTGTTGGCAATTTCTTCCTGGATGTTGGTCTTCCCATCTCGTCGGGTCCTTGGACAGTTCACATAAACACGGGATTTCAAAAAAAACCCATAGAAAAAAATCACAAGGGGCCAAATCTGGAGAGCGGGCCACCCACTCCAAATCCACTCGAAAAGTAGGCCTCAATGGCTAAAGCACGCTCCTCACTGTTCCAACGCACGATGGCGACTGAACTGTGTCAGGATAAAACTTTATACTCCTGCCTCTCGAACGAGACCACTAGCGCTCCGCTACATCTTCAACCAACTGAACGGCGTGCATTTTAAAAAAGGAAGTTATGCTGCCTCACTCTGTACATCAATAAACATCTCGTTAGCGTCTCATAATTAGAATCGGGATCTAGTTTCATCATGCAATTGTTCCATATTCCTATACTCATTACACGGCCTTTTCAAATACCTGCTCGAACAACTGGGTCCTCACTTTCCTCCGAAATGCTAACAAGGAGGGGAGCGATCTAATATCTGTAGGAAGGGCATTCCACAGCCGAGGGGCCACCACTGAGAAGACCCTGTCTTTCGTCCCCGCCAGACATACTTGTGACGCAGGCAGGACCGAGAGCAGAGCCTCCCCAGGCGATCTTAACGTCCTAGCTGGTTCATAGAAGGAGATGCATTCTGTAAGTCCTCACAAGGTTGGCACACACTGTTGCTGGTATGTGGGCCCATTCCTCCATGCAGATCTATCTTCTCACAAGGTTGGGGTACAAAGCCTTTGAGCTATTTAGATTAAAACAAGAGACCATTAAAACACATATGTATTAAAGCAAATTGCTGGTTTGTTTGATTCTATTTAAATTTTGGTATGTCCCGAGTTTTTTGAACTGCGTTACTTTAATGTTGTGAACCACTTGAGATAAATGCAAGGTATAAATAAATATACAGACAGTCCCCAAGTTGCAGACATGATAGCTTCTGTAGGTTTGTTTTTAAGTTGAATTGGTATGTAAGTCGGACAGGGACATTTATATATATATATATATATATATATATATATATATATATATATATGCTTTGATTAGCACAGGGAAGGGTTAACCCCCCTGTGGGGTTTCCTTTGCTGTCTGTGCCCCTGTTCAAGAGATTCCATGTCACTTTCTTTCCCTGTGAGAATTGGATTTTGGAAAATGTGCCTTGTTGTGGAAACAAGGATTGTGGATACAGCTTCAGTGGAGACATTCCCCCCCCCACCCCACCCCCCCCCCCCCCCCCCCCCCCCCGCCCACCCATCCAAAAACAAATGAATGGTACAACTAAAACAGTGGTTCTCTACCTGGGGTCCCCAGATGTTTTTGGCCTACAACTCCCAGAAATCCCAGCCAGTTTACCAGCTGTTAGGATTTCTGGGAGTTGAAGGCCAAAAACATCTGGGGACCCCAGGTTGAGAACCACTGTCCTAGAGGAAGCTTTCCTTCACTTCCTGTTGTCTCAGCCCCATTCTTAACTATGAGTTGTTCGTTAGTTGGATGTTTGTAACTCAGGAACAATCTGTAATAATAACACTAAAATAATTTGTACCAATCAAATGTCGTTATAAATCCATAGTTAAAAATTGACTGGATAATGATAGTACTAGTGATAATAATCAAGGGTAAGAACTAATAAATTAATAGTTCTTACCCTTGATGTTCTTGCCAACATCCAAAAACATGTGTTTTTCGCCTACATAGATGCCCTTTTTATAGGGTGCTCTCTATAAAAATCTATATACTACTTACAGCATATTATTCATGCATCATAAATTACAACAGAAGTGAAGCTTGCAAAACACGAGCAGTGCCTGGCTTTGCACAGTTTGAACATTTTGCCTTAAAATTGTCATGTAAGATGGTGGCGGGATTCAGAGTGAACACGCAAGAAATGAAGATAACAATTCCTCAGAACACGAGGAAAAGGACAAAAAATATCAGGATTTTCAGAAGAGATTAAAGCAAAATATCTGGGTATTGCTATTCCAGGTGAAACTTTACCTTTATTCCAAAATAACTACAGTGAAATATGCAGGGAAATTGAACAGGACTTTCAAAGATGGAACCAATTGCAGCTTTCATTACTTGGGCATATTGCATCCATTAAAATGCATATCATACAAAATTTGCTGTTTGTGTTCCAAATTATCCCAGTAGTAGTAAATGTCAAGCTATTTAAGAACTGTCAGGAAAGATTTAACAGAAATTTAATATTACCATATTTATTGGTAGCAGTTGGAGGTGTACACTGTTGTGGGTGCATCTTGTATGTTTGCATATATTTCTCTCTGTATGTGTGTATGTATTTGTATGTATATTCGCACACAGCAGAAATATGGAGTCTGGGAATTCAGGGAGCTTGCTAGGGATTATAATGATAGATTTTTACTGTTATTTTTTTTTTGTTCTTATCCTTTTGTTCTTTTGTTCTTTATCCCTTATAATTCAAGAATCTAGAGCTCTGCAATGAAGGGAACTTGTCAGTTTCAATAATCAAATAATAATGATGATAATAATAATAATAATAATAATAATATAAGTATTACAGGTATTCTGATTATTCCTTCTCCCTTTTTCCTTTCTTCCCTTCCCAGAAATCTGGATCCCTCAAAGGGGCAGAACATGCCTGGGTTAAGAATGATAATAAGTCATTATTGTTAATAATATTGATATTGTTTCCCCTCCTTCTCTCTAGTCCTTCACACATTAGGAATTCATATTGGTTGGAATCTACCAAAATCAGTCACTGTAAAGCAGCTGTTTCAGTCACCATGTTTCAGATATCAGGTGAAAGAATAGGGGTCCTCAAACTAAGGCCAGGGGGCCGGATACGGCCCTCCAAGGTCATTTACCCGGCCCTCGCTCAGGGTCAACCTAAGTCTGAAACAACTTGAAAGCACACAACAACAACAACAACAACAACAACAATCCTATCTCATCAGCCAAAAGCAGGCCCACACTTCCCATTAAAATACAAATAAGTTTATATTTGTTAAAATTGTTCTTCATCTTAATCATTGTGTTGTTTTTTAAGTGTTTTTGCACTATAAATAAGATATGTGCTGTGTGCATAGGAATTCATGTTTTTTTCAAATTATAATCCGGCCCTCCAACAGTTTGAGGGACTGTGACCTGGCCCTCTATTTAAAAAGTTTGAGGACCCCTGCCATAGACACACAACACATATAGACAGACAGACAGAGGCTATTTAACATTCCAATTTTCTGGCCACCAGAGGAGCTGTCACTCCACCATCCATCTGCAACACTGATGAAGTACTTTCCGCATTCCCCGCATGCTTTTGCTGGAGATTTTTTTATGGCCTCATAAATTTATTAAATTAGCCTCCCCACACATAGGTGGTACCTAAATTTCCTACTTGACAGATGCAACTGTCTTTCGGGTTGCAAAGGTCGACAACAAGCTGCATAAATTGGCCGGGAGTTCACTCTGATCCGGGCTTTCTTTGAACTCATGACCTTTCAGTCAGTAGTGACTCCCAGCCAGCTGCGCCAAGGGTCTGATTCCTCACGAAATCTGCTTGTGGCCTGAGCCTAGCTTCACTGTGTCTGCTCTCTTCCGCAGATGGACCGGTCGTCCCCAACGTACATGGTTGCCAACTTGACCCCTCTGCACTCGGAGCAGCTCCTGCAGGGCCTGAACCTCCTCCGGCAGCACCATGAGCTCTGCGACGTGGTCCTCCGGGTGGGAGACGTCAAGATCCACGCCCACAAAGTGGTGCTGGCCAGCATCAGCCCCTACTTCAAGGCCATGTTCAGCGGCAACCTCTCGGAGAAGGAGAACGCGGAGGTGGAGTTCCAGTGCGTGGCGGAGGCCGCCCTGCAGGCCATCGTGGAGTACGCCTACACGGGCACCGTCTTCATCTCGCAGGACACGGTGGAGTCCCTCCTGCCCGCGGCCAACCTGCTCCAGATCAAGCTGGTGCTGAAGGAGTGCTGCTCCTTCCTGGAGAGCCAGCTGGACCCCGGGAACTGCATCGGGATCTCCCGCTTCGCCGAGACCTACGGCTGCCACGACCTCTACCTGGCCGCCAGCAAGTACATCTGCCGGCACTTCGAGGAGGTCTGCCAGACGGAGGAGTTCTTTGAGCTGACCCACTCAGAGCTGGATGAGATCGTCTCCAACGACTGCCTGAACGTGGTCACCGAGGAGATGGTCTTCTACGCGCTGGAGTCCTGGGTCAAGTACGACGCACCGGAGCGGCAGAAGTACCTGGCCCAGCTGCTCCACTGCGTGCGGCTGCCCCTGCTCAGTGTCAAGTTCCTCACCCGGCTCTACGAGGCCAACCACCTCATCCGCGACGACCACACCTGCAAGCACCTCCTCAACGAGGCCCTCAAGTACCACTTCATGCCCGAGCACCGCCTCTCCTACCAGACTGTGCTGACCACGCGCCCCCGCTGCCCACCCAAGGTCCTCTGCGCTGTCGGAGGGAAGGCCGGGCTCTTCGCCTGCCTGGAAAGGTGAGACTCGGAAGGGAGGAAGCCCCAGAGCATGCTGTTGAGCGCTCTTGTTCAGCTAAAGCAGGCACGAACAAACTTAGGCCCTCCCTCCAGGTGTTTTGGACTTCAACTCCCACAATTCCTGGCCTCAGGCCTCTTCCTTTTCCCCCTCAAGCAGCTTAAGCGGCTGAGGGGGGAAAGGAAGGGACCTGAGGCCAGGAATTGTGGGAGTTGAAGTCCAAAACACCCAGAAGGAGGGCCCAAGTTATCCCATGTGTAGTGAAATTGCTACTCTATGTTAAAGTTTTTGTGTATAGCTCTATGTTTACATATGGCAGATAGGGAAGAATAGGCACAGACAGGGTAGCAACAGCAGAGACAGGATTCATTTGCATATGGGAAGCCGATTGGTCATATGCAGATTAGTGTAGGCCCAGGATTTGAAAAGGCTGCTAGGCCAAAATGACAGTTGGGGAGAGCAGAGCTGAACATTCCAAAGGGGCAGAGCCAAGGTTCTGAAAGAGGCAGTTAGAGTGAAGGAGTTTGAAAATGACAGTTAGGAATCTGTGTTTGAAGAGGAGAGTTGGTTTTTGAGTGATAGAAATAAGTAGTTCTGAAGATGTGTTAAAGACTTCTGATATAAAGAAGCAGTTAGTCAAATAGAGCTCGAGTTTTAAGGAACATAAAGAAGGCTAGTGTTGCCTTAGTTCAGAATATAATTCAGCCAAGAGTGTGTAAAGCAAGTAACATGTTTGTGAATGTGAAACATTGATAGCTTATTCAGAAAATTAACCTAGTAAATCATACTGACTGTAAGCCTCAAGATTGCAACAAAACACAAATGTAACCACAAGCGTTGGAGTCAGAAGTTATAAATAAACTGTGTTACTTCGTTATACACAAGAGTGTTTCATTGCCTGTGATATAAAGTACAAAGGTTTAACAGCACACAGAAAGTCCCAGCCAATATAAAAGAAGAAACTCCATGCCTGCTTTACAGGGTGGTTTGCATTGATAGAAAAATCAGTGAAAGATCTCCATTTCCCCATCGGATCATAATACTATATGTTTTGCAAAGATATATAGAAGCAGAGCTAACACTCTTGCATACCCGGGCAAGGCGTGACAATGCTGTAGTCCATCTGGAGGTGGATCAAATTTTGATTGAATCTCAGGTATGGATCCTTAGGATCTATTACTGGTTGAAATTGATTTTTTGCCTGGTAGTCCTGGCCCCTCTCACCTTACTAGACAAGTTTCAGACAATATGGAAATGTATGTTGCAGAAGCTGGGAAGCTTGGAGTTTACATCTCAAGCTCTAATAACACTTGGTTATGACAATAAAATAATAACTAATAATAACAACAATAGAGTAAAATAATAAAAGTAATAACAAAAATGATAGAGTAAAATAATAAATGTAATAATTGTGTAATAATAATGTAATAGTAACAATAAATAATAGAGTAAAATAATAAATGTAATAATAATAGAGTAAATTAATAAAAGTAATAACAAAAATGATAGAGTAAATTAATAAAAGTAATAACAAAAATGATAGAGTAAAATAATAAATGTAATGATAGTGTAATAATAATGTAATAGTAACAATAAGTAATAGAGTAAAATAATAAATGTAGTAATAGTAATAGAGTAAAATAATAAATGTAATTTTTCATTTATTTATTTATTTATTTGAAACATTTATATTCCGCCCTTCTCACCCTGAATGGGACTCAGGGCGGAGCACAATATGAGGTCTGACCTCCCAACCTCTGAGGATGCTTGCCATAGATGCAAGTGAAACGTCAGGAGAGAATGCCTCTAGACCAGGGGTAGGGAACCTTTGGCCCTCCAGCTGTGGTGGACTTCAACTCCCACAATTCCTTGAGGCTCGGCATTCGCCCCAAAGGCTTACCTTGGCCCAATGCCGAGCCTCAAGGAATTGTGGGAGTTGAAGTCCACCACAGCTGGAGGGCCAAAGGTTCCCTACCCCTGCTCTAGACCATGGCCATATAGCCCGAAAAAACCTACAACAACCCTGTTATACTCTTGGTCCGTGACGGTAACAATAGACTTCATTCCTTCAGAGCATGTATCTGAGAGCAGCATTCCTTGCCTGACGGTTTTGTGCCTTGTGCCTCCCTTTCCCAGCGTGGAGATGTACTTCCCCCAGAACGACTCCTGGATCGGCCTGGCGCCCCTCAGTGCCCCCCGCTATGAGTTTGGGGTCTGCGTCCTGGACCAGAAGGTCTATGTGATCGGGGGCATCGCCACCCACATGTGCCAGGGCATCAACTACCGGAAGCACGAGAGCTCCGTGGAGTGCTGGGACCCGGACACCAACACCTGGTCCCCCGTGCAGAGCATGAGCGACAGCCGCAGCACCCTGGGGGTGGCCGTCCTCTCGCGGGAGATCTATGCCCTGGGCGGCTACGACGGGCAGTCCTATCTGCAGTCCGTGGAGAAGTACATCCCAAAGGTCAAGGAGTGGCAGCCCGTGGCGCCCATGAGCAAGACCCGGAGCTGCTTCGCCGCCGCCGTCCTGGACGGCATGATCTATGCCATCGGAGGCTATGGGCCCGCTCACATGAACAGGTGGGTGGGTGCGACGCCCTTTATGGGGCCTGGTGGGTGGGAATAAAAATAAAGAGTAAAATAGGAATAATAATGAGTAAAGCAAAAGCAGCGGAGAAACAAAAGTGATGTTGCTAATTCCTTAAAAGCACTAGCCAGTAAAGGTGGTGATGGGCACACGGGGTGCAGTGCCTCAAGACCTTGGCCTGCACTTAAACACAATTGGTGCTGACAAAATTACCACCTGTCAGCTGCTAAAGGCCACCTTACTGGGATCTGCACGCATTATTCGCTGATGCATCACACAGTCCTAGACACTTGGGAAATGTCTGATATGTGATCCAATACAACAGCCAGCAGAGTGTCTGCTGTGGACTCATCTTGTTGTGTTTCAAATAGTAATAATAATAATAATAATAATAATAATAATAATAATAATAATAATGGTCTTGTTTGCTGTGGTCCCATCTTGTGTTTCTAATGATGATGATGATGATGATGATGATGATGATAACCGGAGGCTACCTGAAAAATTTTCATGAACTGAATGGGTGGGGTTTCAAAGGGGTATTGAACTAATTAATCATCATCATCATTTTTATTTATATCCTGGGGAGGCTTACAAGGCACTACAAGTGTAGCATATAACACTAGCCGTCCCCTGCCACGCTTTGCTGTGGCCCAGTCTGGTGATCTGGAACATAAAGTAATGAGAAAGTGTTGGTTTCTAATCTATGTAATGTCTTTCTGCTCGTAGGAAAACAGTATTTCTTGCTGTTTCTTTGTCAGTGTTGATTTGGAGATTGTCTGGTTTGCCTACTCTGGAACAGGCAACATATCGTTGTCCTTGTTTAGGGGTCCCTTTCAAATCTATGATACTATATCTCTCTGTGTGTGAATCATATCTATCTCTCTATATCTATGGCTGGATGGCTCTTTGTCAGGAGGGCTTTGTTTACGTTTTCTTGCCCGGGTGAAGGGAGTTGGACTGGATGGCCTTAAGTATTTTCTGTTGGTCATGGGGCTTCTGTGTGGGATGTTTGCCCCAGTTCTGTCTTTGGTGGAGGTCAGAATGCTCTTTGATTGTAGATGAACTATAAATCCCAGTAACTACAACTCACAAATGTCAAAGTCTATTTCCCCCAAACTCCATCTGTGTTCATATTTGGGCATATGGAATATTCCTGCCAAGTTTGTTCCAGATCCATCATTGTTTGAGTCCACAGTGCTCTCTGGATGTAGGTGAACTACAACTCCCCAACTCAAGATCAATGCCCACCAAACCCTTTTAGTGGTCATGGGAGTCCTGTGTGCCACATTTGGTTCAATTCCATCACTGGTGGGGTTCAGAACGCTCTTTGATTGTAAGTAAACTGTAAATCCCAGCAACTACAACTCCCAAATGACAAAATCAATTCTTAAGTGATGGTCACTCATTGGCCTGAGAGGTGTCTTGTGTCCAAATGTGGTGTCAATTCGTCCAGTGGTTTTTGAGTTATGTGAATCCCACAAACGAACGTTACATTTTTATTTATATAGATAAACTATATATGAGTATAAAACAATATCACAAAAAAAATTTCAAAACAACCACTATCAACACATGTTTCAGCACTATTTCCAATTTTAATTTTACATTTGGCCTTCCCACAGTTTTTAATTGTATGTTGTCTTATTGATAATGTTATATGTTTATTGTTTATGTTTTTATTTTAATTGCTTGTGTTGTTGTGATTATTGCCTGTATTGTTGTGTTTGGGCTCGGCCTCATGTAAGCCGCACCGAGTCCCTTGGGGAGATGGTAGCGGGGTACAAATAAAGTGTTGTTATTATTATTATTATTATAAAATAACACAATTTTAAACGCAAAACGGTTAGTACTTAAAACTAGCTGCCATCAATTCAAATAAAGTGCTAGAGTGTCAACCTCATATGGGCCCATTTGAGCCTACTCGAGGCCAAAAGCTTGCTGAAAAGTCCATGTGTTTTGGCTGGACTGGAAAGATTGATGGTTGGGGGCTAACCTAATCTCTGTCGGGAGGGTATTCCAGAGCTGGGGAGCCACCATTGCGAAGCCCCCCTCCATCTCTCTCTCTCTCTCGTTCCCACCAACCGCACTTGTGACGGTGTTGGGACCAAGAGAAGGGCCTCCCCTGTCGATCCCAAACCCCACACCAGTTCATAGAAAGATATGTGGTCTCAAAGATAGGTTGGACCTGGAGCGTACAGGGCTGAATGCTTGCCCGCATTTTCTTTAGTCGTAACTTTATTGCTATTGCTTTTTTGTTTATGAGTTTTATTTTAATTGTTTTATTGTTGTTGTTATTGTTTTTCCTGTTGTATTGTGGGCTTGGCCTCATGTAAGCCGCACCGAGTCCCTTGGGGAGATGGTAGCGGGGTACAAATAAAGTATTATCTATATATATGTATAAATGCTCTGTGCTTAATGAGTACCTTAAAAACAAAAGAACCAATGAACGAAATCACACCAAATTTGGCAACAAAACGTCTCACAACACAAGGAGTGACCATCACTCAAAAAATTATGATTTTGTCATTTGGGAGGTGTAGTTGCTGGGATTTATAGTTCACCTAAAATCAAAGAGCATTCTGAACTAAATCAATGAGGGAATTGAACCAAACTTAGCGCACAGAACTCCCATGACCAACAGAAAATATTGGAAGGGTTTGGTGGGCATTGACCTTGAGTTTGGGAGTTGTAGTTCACCTACATCCAGAGAGCACTGTGGACTCAAACAATAATGGATCTGGACCAAACTTGGCACAAGCACTCAATACGCCCAAATACGAACACAGATGGAGTTTGGGGGGAATAGACCTTGACATTTGGGATTTGTAGTCACTGGGATTCACAGTTCACCTACAATCAAAGAGCATTCTGAACCCCACGAATGACAGAATCGGGGCAGACTTCCCACACAGAACCCCCATGACCAACAGAAAATACTTAAGGCCATCCAGTCCAACTCCCTTCTTCACCAGAGCAAGAAAACGTAATCAAAGCCCTCCCGACAAAGAGTCATCCAGCCATAGATATAGAGATAGATAGCTAGATAGATAGATATGATGCGTGCACACACAGGTATAGTATCATAGATTTGAAAGGGACCCTTAAAGAAGGACAATGATATGTTGCATGTTCCAGAGTGGGCAAATCAGACCCTCTCCACATCAACACTGACAAAGAAACAATAAGAAATACTGTTTACCCACAAGCAGAAAGACATGACATAGATTAGAAACCAACACTTTCTCATTACTTTATTTGCCAGATCAACAGACTGGGCCACAGCAACATGTGGCAGGGACAGCTAGTTATTATTATTATTATTGTGGCAACCTGGCATTAAAGATAATAACAATTAAATAATAATTTATCCCCTGCTTTATCTCTCCCGATGGGACTCAAAGCAGCTTCACATAAAAGTATTAGTACGCTATTTGAAATATGCAGATATGCAAGTGCGCTGTCGCATGCTGGGCCTGTGCATCAGACTGTAGACAGGACATAAATTCCGCGTGCCCAACAGGATGCCAGGGCTGCCTCAGATTAAAGGCCTTTGGATTTCCTTAAAACAGAGTCTCTAGATTGCTTCAACAAAGTTCAACAAAGTTCTTTATTAATGAAAACAAACAGGTACTTTAAGGCTTTCTTAGCAGTCAATAGGCTCTCTCTCAATCTTGTCCACAGGGAACAGGCACTATATTTATAACTGTAACTAATGGGGAAATGCTTAGCTTCTAATCTGGGCAGTCTGTCTTTGCCTCTGTTGGCGTGGAGTCCCTGCACCCGGTCCCAACTGCGTCTGGCTTCCGCAAGTGACCCTTACCAAGCAGAGCTTTGTAGACTTCCAGGGGAAAAAGAAGGAGATCAGGTTTCGGTGATGGCTGACTGAAGTCCTTCAGCAAAGGAACTGTAGGGCTGTATAATCCTCAGCCAAGCTATGGGACCTTTCTCCCCGGCCAAGCCGTGGGGCTGTATCTCCCCGGCCAAGCTGTAGAAGACGAAGCTTTCTGCAGGAGCTCTTGGTATTATGTCCTGTGTGAAAGGCTTCTCTGTGTGGACTGACCTCAAAATGGCTCCTATTTCCTCTAAAACCCAAAAAGGGGGCGGGACCAGGGAACCTAACTATAATTGACAGGTGGCTTGCCCTATGATTGCAGCCAAAAGAAGCCACCTATCTGCAGAGTCCCTGAAAATTAGGACTATAACAAACATTCAATGCGAAGCAAACAAAATTGGAGCTCCTGGTACAGCTGTACCTGCACAGCAAGCATGAATAAATTTCCAAGGATCTCTAGTGAGTGTCTTTACATGCTCTCAGGGTTCTGCCATCATGATGCCCTGACCCCATTTGTCTCTCTCTCTCTCTGTCTGTCTGTCTCTGTTTGCTTTCCTGGCTTTTCAGCGTGGAGCGTTATGACCCGGGCAAGGACTCCTGGGAGGCGGTGGCCCCGATGGCCGACAAGAGGATCAACTTTGGCCTGGGGGTGGCGCTGGGCTTCATCTTTGTGGTCGGGGGCCACAATGGGGTCTCCCACCTCTCCAGCATCGAGCGCTACGACCCCCACCAGAACCAGTGGACTGTCTGCCGGCCCATGAAGGAGCCCAGGACAGGTGAGGGGTGGGGGAGCCCCACATTGGGACTGGCCATCCAGGATACACGAGGGTGGGGGGGTTGAGGTCCCCCTTACACAACGCTGCAGCCTTCTAGCTTCTCTTGTAAACACACACATACATATCCACTAGCACGTTTCTTTCTTTCGCCCTCTATTCATGCCTATTCAAATTCTGCAGCATAGAAGGCATGGATCTGCGTTTTCTCTCAAGCATTCAACATAATACGATTCCCGCTTTTCCGCAGGAGTCGGCGCGGCGGTCATCGACACGTACCTGTACGTGGTGGGCGGCCACTCGGGCTCCTCGTACCTGAACACGGTCCAGAAGTACGACCCCATCTCGGACGGCTGGGTGGACACGGCCGGGATGATGTACTGCCGCTGCAACTTCGGCTTGACTGCCCTTTGAGGAGGGGAGGAGAGGAAGCGATTGGGGGGCTCGGCCGTCCATCCGTCGTCCGTCCGTCCATCCATCCCGGGGGAGGCTCCTCGGGGAAGGGCATCGGGGCACGGAGCGCGGTCCCTGGGTCGCGACAGATCCCGCCTTCGGGCCGGTTCAGGAAGGACGCGCGAAGGGCAGGACCTCTCCGGCACAGCAGGGCTTCGGGCCCTTTCCTCCCCCAATTCCTCCTTCTATCCCTGACCTAGAAGAAGACGTGGGGCCCTTCGAAGGTGTCTTTCCCACAAACGCAGTCTCTGGAGAGACCGTCGTGGCTTTGCAGGCTTTTTTGGTGAACAGTTCATTAACCGAAAGAGCTGCATTCTGTAAATACAAGCCAGGTATGGACCAACTTGGGTCCTCCCTTGAGGTGTTTTGGACTTCAACTCCCACAATTCCTAGCCTCAGGCCCCTTCCTTTTCCCCCTCTGCCGCTTAAGCGGCGGAGGGGAAAAAGGAAAGGGCCTGAGGCCAGGAATTGTGGGAGTTGAAGTCCAAAACACCCAGAAGGAGGACCCCAAATGCCATAAACCTATTTTGCCTGCATCATATTCACTCTCATCCCTTTGTTTGGGTGGGAATATTGAGGATTATTAGGAAAGGAATGACTTGCTTTTAGGTTGGCACGCTTGTTGTTGTTATCCGTCATTATTATTTATGGGTAGAGCGCCCTCAGTGCACAAAATGCCTTTCTGCCCCGTCCCCTTCGGACCCTTGCCACTCCATAATCGCCCTTCCCCGTCCGAACGGGGAAATCCACGCCGCGGAAGAGAGGAAGCAATCCCTGGACAGTGGCGGGATTCTGGATTCTCCTTTCGGCGCATTTCCCGGAAGGATGCTCTGGTTTCAGAGCCTTTCGCCCACCTCTCTGTGTCCAAATAGGGAGTGAAGCGTCCGGGCGTAAACATGGTGCTAAATCAACCCAAACGTACGGAAGGAAGGCCGTTTGGAGGTCGAGAGAGCCTTGACCTTCAAAGGAATGGGAAACGACCCCTTGCGCTGTCTCTCTCTCTCTACGTAGTGAATGTTCCCGTCCACAAATATGGATCTCCCCGCGTCACGGTTTCCTTTCCTGTTCATCTGTGCCTGACGGACCTTTAACTCTTTGAGGTTCTTTGTAGGATTTGCTCACCTGGAGAAATCCAGCTTCAGCAGAGCCTTAACGGAGGCATATGACTTCCCTCTAGCTCCTTATTTACTTCCAAGTAGCATGAGCAGTGGCCATTTATGTAACCCCTTGGGAACGAAATGAACAGTTCCCTCCTTGTATTGTCGAAGGCATTCATGGCCAGAATCACTGGGTTGTTGTAGTTTTTTTCGGGCTATATGGCCATGTTCTAGAGGCATTCTCTCCTGACGTTTCGCCTGCATCTATGGCAAGCATCCTCAGAGGTAGTGAGGTCTGTTGGAACTAGGAAAAAAGGGTTTATATATCTGTGGAATGACCAGGGTGGGACAAAGGACTCTTGTCTGTTGGAGCTAGGTGTGAATGTTTCAACTGATCACCTTGATTAGCATTTGATTGCCTGGCAGTGCCTGGAGCAATTTTTTGTGGGCTTTATGGCCATGTTCTAGAGGCATTCTCTCCTGACGTTTCGCCTGCATCTATGGCAAGCATCCTCAGAGGTAGTGAGGTCTGTTGGAAATAGGAAAATGGGTTTATATATCTGTGGAATGACCAGGGTGGGACAAAGGACTCTTGTCTGCTGGAGCTAGGTGTGAATGTTTCAACTGACCACCTTGATTAGCATATAATGGTCTGACAGTGCCTGGAGCAAACTTTTGTTGAGAGGTGATTAGATGTCCCTGATTGTTTCCTCTCTGTTGTTTTGCTGACACAGGATGTCTGACACAGATGTGGGCGAAATGTCAGGAGAGAATGCTTCTGGAACATGGCCAGACAGCCCCAAAAACTCACAGCAACCCAATTACGGATTTGTTTTGCTGTGTTTGCCCCCTCCTCTTCCTCTCCCTGTCTTCCCTGCTCCTCCCCTTGCACACACACATTTTCTGTATTTACAAACATGCAATAATACTGGTGTGTGTTTTATTTCAGCCTTTGATATGCCTGAGAGCAGGCAGAGCTGAGGTTGGGAACCAATGGTTCCTTTTCCTTGTTGTGACGAAGCTACAAGCGCTCTTCCCTTCTCCTCTTCTCCTCCTCCTCTTCTTCCATTAGTTCATATTGTGACTCCCGAGGGAGCGCACTCTCTCCTTCAACTCTGTTTCCAAAAGGAGTTGCACCACGTCTCTAGCCAACGCTTGAACGTACCACGTATTCCCAAAGCACTGCTGGGTTTTCAAGCAACTTAACGACAAAGCAATTGCGTCCGCTGCCGAGAGGTTTGCCGGTCTTTCTTTACGCAGCAATAACGGCCCGGTGCAACCTTCCGCAGTGACCTTTCGTGTGCAGAATTGCGCATTTGCTTCAGGTGGGTCTCCCTTGGCTGACCGTCACCTCGGACCGAAGCAACTAATGGGGGCATCGGAGTGCAAGGCCTCCCTGGCTCTGTGTCCTGCTTCATCTCAGTGGGTTCACTCACAATGCATTGTCTGCAAAAACTTTGAATGTTGTGACCTTCCAGGGGCAAGGGGGCTGGGCACAGGATTGTGGGGCAAAGGAAAGAGTGCTGAATTGGAGAGAGAGAAGGAAACGGGTGCAAAAGATGGAAAGAGGAAGGAGGAGAAAGGGCTGTTGCAGAGAAAACACTTGAGAAGCTCATTAGGCTTCTTCTTTGGTTGTTTGCTGGGTCTCAAAACTTCCCAGAGCCACATTTTTAAAGTCCTGATCTTGACCGGGTTTACTCTTCTGAAAATGGGGAATGGGCCACCCCTTGGGATAGTCCTCCTAGCCATCATTGCAAAGATTGTATTGTCGAAGGCTTTCATGGCCGGTATCACTGGGTTGTTGTAGGTTTCTTTGGGCTATATGGCCATGTTCTAGAGGCATTCTCTCCTGACGTTTCGCCTGCATCTATGGCAAGCATCCTCAGAGGTAGTGAGGTCTGTTGGAATTAGGAAAATGGGGTTTATATATCTGTGGAATGACCAGGGTGGGACAAAGGACTCTTGTCTGTTGGAGCTAGGTGTGAATGTTTCAACTGACCACCTTGAGTAGCATTTGATGGCCTAGCTCCAACAGACAAGAGTTCACACCTAGCTCCAACAGACAAGAGTTCTTTGTTCCATCCCGGTCATTCCACAGATATATAAACCCATTTTCCTAGTTCCAACAGACCTCACTACCTCTGAGGATGCTTGCCATAGATGCAGGCGAAACGTCAGGAGAGAATGCCTCTAGAACAGTGGTCTCAACCTGGGGTCCCCAGATGTTTTTGGCCTACAATTCCCAGAAATCCCTGCCAGTTTACCAGCTGTTAGGATTTCTGGGAGTTGTAGGCCCAAAATATCTGGGGACCCCAGGTTGAGAACCACTGCTCTAGAACATGGCCGTGTTTCCCAGAGCCACATTTTTGAAGTCCTGATCTTGACAGGGTTTGCTCTTCTGAAAATGAGGAATGAGCAACTCCTTGGGATAGTCCTCCTAGCCACCATTGCAAAGATTGTTTTGACTGAGGATGTTTTCAGGGCGATCTTTGTGCAACGCAGTCAAGGTAAGTGTTGGGTGTATCGGTTCGTTTTCACGGAGGGTCACTTGACCCTGAAAAGGTGCAAGGAATTGAAAGGAAGGACGTTCATCTCAAATCCGTTTATTTTGGTCCCAACCAGAATCGTTTCCTTGCAAAGTCCTCCAGCGAAGGGGAGGAGAGGCTTTTGGAGGGATGATCACCCAGCTGGACCAAAACAACCCAAAACTTGGTATTCAGAGTAAGCACTTTAGAGCTTTGGTTGGTTGGTTGGTTGGTTGGTGAAAAATCTGTGGAAGTTGGGCAGGATTGTCTCTTGGGAAGTGTCTCCAAATCAGGAAGTTCTCCACCCTCATTCAAGGAGATAAGGCTCTGTCCCTTCCTTGGAAGCAACATGGAGACCCTTTCACTCGTGCCATTGAACGGAAGCTTACAGAGGAGAGAACTTGAAGGACGTTTCCTCCATTCCGGGGGTGCAAAATGGGGAAAGATGGGCCAACGGTTGTCCAGGCTTAAGGGTGCGTTTTTGTGGTGTCAACAAACTGTCCCAATGGGCAGAAAGCCACCTGTCGCACAGCCCAAGAGAGAACCTTATTCCTCTTTCCGCCGCTTTGCTTTGATATATTGTTGAAGGCTTTCATAGCTGGAATCCCTGGGTTGTTATATGTTTTTCGGACTATGTGGCCATGTTCTAGAAGCATTCTCTCCTGGTGTTTCACCTGCATCTGTGGCAGGCATTGTTGGGAGTTCAGCCTGTGATTGTGTTTCAGGATCAGGATTATTTGAATGTGTGAAGTGATGCCAGTGAATTTCAAGATGGCAATGGTTTGGTCAAGGATACGGATGCAGAGAAGGACCAGGAGATCCCTGTGCAACGTGTAGTTGCCCATGAGAATGTCCCTGAAGGGTGTGGGGAGGATGGTGTGCGCCCTGAATTGTTACCAGAGAGTTCCCAGGATTTGGGGCTTGAAAACAACTCAGCACCTGGCCCAGCTGCAAAACTGAATGAGCAAATAGATAGGAGGCAGGAGATTAGTCAAAACAGCCTGTGATTGTGTTTCAGGATCAGGGTGCTTTGGATGTGGGAAGTGATGCCAATGAATTTCAAGATGGCAATGGTTTGGTCAATGATACTGATGCAGAGAAGCACCAAGAGACCCCTGTGCAAAGTGTAGTTTCCCATGAGAATGTCCCTGAAGGGTGTGGAGAGGATGGTGTGCTGTCTGAATTGTTACCAGAGAGTTCCCATGATAGTTGCCGAAATTAATGAACAAATAGATAGGCGGGAGGAGATCAGTCAAAACAGGAGAGCCGAACAGTGGCTTCGGCATTCTGCCAGGCTCTGAGAGAAAAAGATAAGACATTCTCAGCTAAAACGAAACTGAATTGCTACAAGAGAGTTGCCAGGATTTGGTGCTTGAAAACAACTCGGCACCTGGACCAGCTGTAAAACTTAATGAGCAAATAGATAGGACGCAGGAGATTAGTCAAAGCAGGCAGACCGAACAGTGGCAAGCATCCTCAGCGGTTGTGAGCCTCAGGCCCCTTCCTTTTCCCCCTCAGCCGCTTAAGTGGCTGAGGGGGGAAAGGAAAGGGCCTGAGGCTCACTACCTCTGAGGATGCTTGCCATAGATGCAGACGAAACGTCAGGAGAGAATGCTTCAAGAACATGGCCATATAGCCCGAAAAAACTACAACAACCCAGCTTTGAGTTGGTCTGCTTGGCTCCTCACCAAGGTTGGCCTCCTCTGCTTCTCCTTTGAAGCATCTTCTCGTTCTCTTTCTTATCCCTTCTCTTTCTTTCTCCGCCTCTACTTTTCCTTCTACTTCCTCTCTGCCTCTTCCTCCTTCCCCTTTTACTTCCACAATCTCTTTCCGCAGCCTGCCTTAAAACCCCGTTTTCTGAATCCATTCAGAACCAGCGAGGATCTTGATTGTTGCTCTGAATGCAAGGCTAGATTGATCTCTGCTGGGCTTCGAACCCCTTCTTTGCACCGGCTCTTTTCCCCCTCCAAATACAGAGAAATTCGATCGAGGCTTACCTGTCAGACCCTCCAGCTTCGCTTTGCCACCCTTTCCTGCCTCTTTGGGTGCATCCACACTGTGAGATCAGTGTTTTGGGCTCGACTTTATGTGCTGTGGATCAAAGCTGTGGTAATCATAGGCGTTGTTGGTCGCTGAAGACTAGAAGACTTTGGGAACTCCAGCTCCCCTGATTCCACAGCATTGAGCCACGGCAGCTAAAGGAGTGCCCAACTGCATCAGTCCCACAGTGTGGATGCTTGCACACTTTGTGACTTTCTGACTCGTCATCATCATCATCACCCCAAGGGTGGCATTCAGCTTGAAAAGGGAGAGGGGGGATAACTCGCCAACGTCTTACTCGTTCCCATCGGCTAATTGTGAAGACGCTCTGTCATCGTTGGAAGGCGCTCTCATTTTGAATGTGCAATGTTTAATAAAATAAATCCATGAACAGATGGTGTTTGGCTGGATCTTTTAACCCCACCCCACCTCATCACTCCCCTCCCCTTTATGATTCTGGGTAGTCATGGGCCCGAAATTCATCTCATCCGTTTGATTCGTGTTTCTGTTTTGTTCCGTCCATTTGGATGGCACAGAACGGGAAGGCTCCTCCTGCAACCAAAACAAACTCAATACGAATGACCCTTCCCTCATACCCTGCCTTGGCTAAAAAACCTTGGGCACATCTACACTGCAGAGTTAATGCAGTTTGACACCACTTCCACTGTTCTGGTTAAATGACATAATAATAATAATAATTTATTTATTATTTTATTTATTTTACTTTGCTTATATACCGCTGTATCTCAAGCCCGAAGGCGACTCACAGCGGTTCACAAACAGTAAAAACAGTAGAAACAGCAGTGGTTCCATACAACATATAACAATTGACTTAACACATTATCCATAAATTACCAATAAGCAATTACAATGCACAATTATTACAAAACACAACCGTACCCAATCTTCTCATCATCCAAGCGTAGTCCAGGTTCGTCGTCCATTGTTCCATTCCTATGTTCCATTACCAGATTGCACTAAATTACTCAAACGCCTGCTCAAACAGCCAGGTCTTCACCTTTTTGCGGAATACCATTAGAGATGGTGCTAGTCTAATGTCCGTAGGAAGGGCGTTCCACAGCCGAGGAGCCACCACCGAGAAGGCCCTATCTCTCGTCCCCGCCAGCCGAGCTTGAGAAGCAGGCGGGATCGAGAGCAGGGTCTCCCCGGAAGATCTCAAAGTCCTGGTGGGTTCATAGGCCGAGATGCGGTCGGATAGGTAGCTTGGGCCGGAACCGTTTAGGGCTTTAAAGGCCAACGCCAGCACTTTGAATTCAGCCCGGTAGCAGATCGGTAGCCAGTGGAGTTGGCGCAACAGGGGGGTCGTATGCTCCCTGCGCTCCGCTCCTGTTAAAATCATGGCTGCCGAGCGTTGGACTAGTTGGAGCTTCCGAGCTGTCTTCAAAGGCAACCCCACGTAGAGAGCGTTGCAGTAGTCTATACAGGATGTAACAAGAGCGTGGACTACCGTGGCAAAGTCAGACTTCCCAAGGTACGGGCGCAGCTGGCGCACAAGCTTTAGCTGTGCAAATGCTCCCCTGGTCACCGCCGAAACCTGGGGTTCCAGGCTCAGCGATGAGTCCAGGGTCACACCCAAGCTGCGAACCTGCGTCTTCAGGGGGAGTGCGGCCCCATCCAACACAGGCTGTAACCCTATGCCCTGTTCGGCCTTGCGACTGACCAGGAGTGCCTCTGTCTTGTCTGGATTCAATTTCAATTTGTTCGCCCTCATCCAGACCGTCACAGCGGCCAAGCACCGGTTCAGGACCTGGACAGCCTCCTTAGTAGCAGGTGGAAAGGAGTGACAGAGTTGGACATCATCCGCGTACAGATGACACCGTACCCCGAAACTCCGGATGATCTCCCCCAGCGGCTTCATGTAGATGTTAAACAACATGGGAGACAATATTGAGCCCTGAGGAACCCCACAAGACAAAGGTTGTGGGGTTGAACAGGTGTCCCCCAACAACACCTTCTGAGATCCACCCTCCAGGAATGACCGAAGCCACTGCAAAACAGTACCTCCGCCTTGGGCGCATCTACACTGCAGAGTTAACGCAGTTTGACACCACTTCCATTGCCTTGGCTAAAAAAACCTTGGGCATATCTACACTGCAGAGTTAACGCAGCTTGACACCACTTCCACTGTTCTGCCTAAATGACAAAATAAAATAATAATAATAATAATAACAATAGTAATTGTTTTGGGCGCCAAATATGCCTTGGGCGCTTCTACACTGCAGAGTTAACACAGTTTGACACCACTTCCACTGCCTTGGCTAAAAAACCTTGGGCACATCTACACTGCAGAGTTAACGCAGTTTGACACCACTTCCACTGTTCTGGCTAAATGACAAAATAATAATAATAATAATAATAATAATAATAATAATAATAATAATGGTTTGGGGTGCCAGATAAGCCATGGGCGCTTCTACACTGCAGAGTTAATGCAGTTTGATACCACTTCCACCGCCCTGGATAAAAAACCTTGGGCACATCTACACTGCAGAGTTAACGCAGTTTGACACCACTTCCACTGTTCTGGCTAAATGACAAAATAATAATAATAATAATAATAATAATGGCTCTGCTGCATCCATTCTGTGCCAGATTTGGGCGCCAGATAAGCCTTGGGCGCATCTACACTGCAGAGTTAACGCAGTTTGACACCACTTCCACTGCCTTGGCTAAAAAACCTTGGGCACATCTACATTGCAGAGTTAACGCAGTTTGATACCACTTCCAATGTCCTAGCTAAATGAACAAATATAATAATAATAATAATAATAATAATAATAATAATAATAATGGCTTGGGCGCCAGATAAGCCTTGGGCGCATCTACACTGAAGGTTTAACTCAGTTTGACACCACTTCCACTGCCTTGGCCAAAAGACCTTTGGAAGGAAGCCTTGAGCCAGGAAATTTGCATTCACTGCAGCGGCGAGGAGCGATTGGATGCACCCGAGACGCTCTCCTCCAATCGCCGCCTTCGTGGGCGTGGCCAGGCGAGGAACGCCAGGAAATTTGCATTCACAGCAGCGGCGAAGAGCGATTGGATGCGCCCGAGACGCTCTCCTCCAATCGCCGCCTTCGTGGGCGTGGCCAGGCGAGTCCCGTTCCTCCAGGAAAGAGAGAACAGGAGTGCGCCTGCGCTATACGGCTAGCCCCGCCCCTTTTCCGGGCTCCTCCTCCCCTGACATGCGCAGTCTCGGGCCGAGGTGGAAGTGGGCAAGATGGCGGCTTCCGGTGTATGGAGCTCGGTGCCTTCCCTTCTCCTTCTCTTTCTCCTCCTTCTTCTTCCGGGGACGGAGGCCGGGCGAGGCCGGGTGCAGGAGCTGAGCGACGGCGAGTGGAGGGAGCTGCTCCAGGGAGAGTGGATGCTGGAATTGTGAGTGGATTGCCAGAGAGGGGGCAACACGACCTCTCTCCCAGGCCTGGGCACACTTGGGGCCTGTGTGGGGAGTGGGTTCAATAGAATTGGAGGAAAGGCGTCTTTGAAACAGTTCTGTGAGTTTTCCGGGCTGTAAGGCCGTGCTCCAGCAGCATCCTCTCCTGACGTTTCGCCTGCATCTCTGGCAAGCATCCTCAGAGGTTGGGAGGTCTCTTGGAACTAGGAAAAAGGGTTTATATATCTGTGGAATAATGACCAGGGTGGGACAAAGGACTTTTGTCAGTTGGGCTAGGTGTGAATGTTTCAGCTGATCACCTTGATTAGCATATAATGGCCTGGCAATGACTGGGGCAATCTTTTGTTGAGAGGTGATTAGAAATTCCTCATTGTTTCCTCTCTGGGTTGTTGTAGTTTTTTTGGGCTGTATGGCCATGTTCTAGAGGCATTTTCTCCAGACGTTTCGCCTGCATCTCTTGCAAGCATCCTCAGAGGTAGTGAGGTCTCTTGGAACTAGGAAAAAAGGGTTTATATATCTGTGGAAAGACCAGGGTGGGACAAAGGACTCTTGTCTGCTGGAGCTAGGTGGGAATATTTCAACTGACCACCTAGATTAGCATTTGATGGCCTGACAGTGCCTGGAGCAATCTTTTGTTGAGAGGTGATTAGATGTCTGGGTTGTACGTTTTTTCAGGCTATGTGGCCATGTTCTAGAGGCATTCTCTCCTGACTTTTCGCCTCCATCTATGGCAAGCATCCCCAGAGGTAGTGAGGTCCCTTGGAACTAGGAAAAGGGGTTTATATATCTGTGGAATAATGATCAGGGTGGGACAAAGGACTCTCGTCTGCTGGAGCTAGGTGTGAAGGTTTCAACTGACCACCCTGATTAGCATATAATGGCCTGGCAGTGCCTAGAGCAATCTTTTGTTGAGAGGTGATTAGATGTTCCTCATTGTTTCCTCTCTGGGTTGTTGTAGTTTTTTCGGGCTTTATGGCCATGTTCTAGAGGCATTTTCTCCTGACGTTTCGCCTCCCATCTATGGCAAGCATCCTCAGAGGGAGTGAGGTCTGTTGGAAGTAGGAAAAATGGTTTATATATCTGTGGAATAATGACCAGGGTGGGACAAAGGACTCTTGTCTGCTGGAGCTAGGTGTGAAGGTTTCAACTGACCATCTTGATTACCATATAACGGCCTGGCAGTGCCTGGGGCAGTCTTTTGTTGAGAGGTGAGAGGAAACAAACAAGGACATCTAATCACCTCTCAACAAAAGTTTGCTCCAGGCACTGTCATAGAATCAAAGAGTTGGAAGAGACTTCATGGGCCATCCAGTCCAACCCCATTCTGCAAAGAAGCAGGAATATTGCATTCAAAGCACCCCTGACAGATGGCCATCCAACCTCGGTTTCAAAGCTTCCAAAGAAGGAGCCTCCACCACACTCCGCAGCAGATGGTCAGTTGAAACATTCACCTAGCTCCAGCAGACAAGAGTCCTTTGTCCCACCCTGGTCATTCCACAGATATATAAACCCCTTTTTCCTAGTTCCAACAGACCTCACTACCTCTGAGGATGCTTGCCATAGATGCAGGCGAAACGTCAGGAGAGAATGCCTCTAGACCATGGCCATATAGCCCGAAAAAACCTACAACAACCCATTCACACCTAGCTCCAGCAGACAAGAGTCCTTTGTCCCACCCTGGTCATTCCACAGATATATAAACCCCTTTTTCCTAGTTCCAACAGACCTCACTACCTCTGAGGATGCTTGCCATAGATGCAGGCGAAACGTCAGGAGAGAATGCCTCTAGAACATGGCCATATAGCCCGAAAAACCTACAACAACCCATCTGCAAAACCTTCTTTCCATACACTTGCTCATTTTTTTTATTAAATTTTTATTGATTTATCACAATTATTACATACTATTGCATTTTATACATCAACCTCTTTAACATGTTGTTTTGTTGTTTTGCTTTAACATTCCCCCCCCTTTTCTCATTTTTTTCCTTTTTTTTTCCCACCACAGTGCTCCCCTCCACCCGTCTCAAGCCATATTTCTTACATTTCATCTGTCCAAAATTTCATTTCTTCTTGTGACGGTAATTTTCCTTCCTTATTTTTTAATCCATTTACCACAAATCTTCCCCATACAGCATCAAAATCGCTTTGTTTCCATATACCTTTTTTAACCTTTAATATACATGTCAATTTATCGTTTATTGCTATTTTCCATGCTTCTTTATACCACTCCTCTATTTGTATATTCATTTCTTTTTTCCAATTCCTTGCTATGAGCAGTCTTGCTATAGTTAGTAAATTTGTTATCGCTTCTTTATCCTCCTTTTTCAATTGCTTATTGGTATATAATGATAGTAAGGCTATACTAGGACTTTTATCTATTTTCATATTCATTATAATTTCTATTTCTCTAAATACTTTCTCCCAAAAATTATTTACATATTTACATTGCCACCACATATGTATATATGTTCCTGGTTCTTGACACCCTCTCCAACAATTTATTGAATTATTCTTATTCATTTATGCTATTCTTACCGGTGTTAAGTACCACTTCCATATTAGCTTATAATAATTTTCTTTAACTCGTATCGATAAATTTTTTAAGTCC